TTCTATTCTAGAAAAGTTGGATCCTGTATCTTCGTGTGCCAACCTTAGAGAGTTCGTTGCCAAACAATACTCACAGCATTGTCATAGATTACCATGCATTACTTTAGAGATCTGTACCTGCACCAAGTGCAAGGTAACCTATCTTCTCTTTAACCTTCCTTCACTGCAGACCAAGCCAACTGGCATCATCACACATTTGCTGCAAGCTAAAAACATGCATCTATGGAGTAACCACAGTTCAGCTAAACATACAGTAACTTGAAACATTTTTGAAAGAAGGACTTTGGCAGAATTTTACCTTGAACTCCTGAAAGAATAAGAGCCTTTAATCGAAGAGGAATACCTTTCCTTTCTGCACACTCAATACAGCCCAAATGGTATATAAGTGCAAATACAGGCTAAAGTTATTTTGGAAACACAGACTGCTAGAACATTACTACTATCCAGATGCCTGCCGCTACACAGGAGGTTATGGCTTGCCACAGTGGTGCTGGTGTGGAGTATCATATGAGCTCTCCTTAATCCATGCAAAACCAACGTCTGAACAAGATCTGAGCCAAAGGGGGTAGCTTGGCTGCCTGCCTGAATAAGTGCACGCACGATTCTTCGTGACAGATCTGAGGCAGAAGCAGCAACTTCACCCTGGCATTGACTTAATGTGTCACTATTAACAGTAGTTCTGTGAGAGATTATCCATCTATATCCTCCATGTAGAAATAAAGTCATCAAAGGGACCCAAAGCAGGTAAAATTTAGTCTCAATGCAAACATCAGCTGTCTATACTGCATCTTCAATCAGGGAAAGTAAAGTCAACATACTCCTGTTTTCTACTCAATACTTTGCACTTAAAGAGGGCCTTTCCAGAACTCTATCACAAGCATTAGACTTAAATCAAACCAATTATTCCTGTATGTCTTATGTTTACAAAGATTAACTGAAAACATAGTATAATTATAGAATTATGTTTAACAGGACTCCCGAGATGAACTATCTGCCATACAAATCCTTTTACCTACACATTTCTGACAGCATTACTACCTTTGACTATTAAACTATAACCATAGAGCTATATATCAAGCAAAATCTAACTCCTCGACCCCGACAAAACACATACCTGAGTCGCAAGATCTTTTGGTTGGTGTGGTTAACGAGGCATGAGCTGTACTTGTGCATGGCCCACCTGGAAACAGAGAAGATCATATGTCTCAAAATACCACCTATATTTAACATTGACAACCACATCGAGATTATACTTAGGAATAGAAAATGCTGAGGAGCACTTGTCTTTGGAAAGCACATATGGAAGTGGTCTACTGTTCTCAGTGTTTCTTTCCCAGTCAAATCCAAGTATGTCTTGCACTGAAAAAACAGATGAGAAGTTGGGACAAAAAGACAAGTTCTGTCAGACTTCATAAATATTTCAAGAGGCAGTTTTAGGAAAATAACACACCGTAACTGCAATTTTTCCAGCATTGGCAAAGGTATTGTTTATGTCAGAATAAAGCTAGAAATGTATCAAACTAACCCACAAGCAACACAAGGGATGAAGTGATCACTTCCCTGAAGTCAAGAGAAACCTTGTCACTGACTCCAGTGAGATAACAACTTCGCCTCTTATCTTGTCCTCATTATGTTTTCAAAGTGCAGCACAAGCATATGCTAACAAACTCTTTCCATGTTTTTTTTGTCGAACTCTGGACTCTTGCCCACTCATCTGGTATCTGCTTGGTAGTAAATTGCTTTCTGGCTTTTTTCTTAACATGTATCATCGTTGAAGATTTCTCCAGAGATCTTGTTAAAATAGCAACCAATTGAACGTACTCAGCAACTTGCAGTAAAAATAAATAAATAAATAAATAAATAAACAGATAAATAAATAAATAAATAAAAACCCCATCTAGTGAGGCCAAGACGAGTTGACAGTAGCATTACCAGTGGTAAGAACACATCATAGCTTTGATAATTGGATGTTATAAATTGGATGATTCTAGAAAGCCTGAAATTAAGTTAGATGTAGTAGAGTTTGGCTACCAAAATAGCAGTAACCAAGTTTGCTCTGGACTGCTGGTGATAGAGTAATACTACCCTGGCAACAGAATAGAGCTTAGTATGGTAGGTAACCTTTTACATAAGTCTTCATGCCCTGAAACAATACTTTTTCCGTTAATTTTTTTTTCAGTCTTTGCATATCTGGAAAGCAGCACTGTAGCTTTGGTAATGTTTTCCTCTTTTCAAATATTTTCAAGTCTGGCCTGGTACCAAACTATTTCTTTTTGCTTCTCTCCAAGATGCTCCCCCTTCAAGTTTTTATTTAATTTCTGGTTTTCAGTAAGTATCAGGTTGGGTAACTTTGTCTACCCTATAAAACTCATAGCATCATGACACTACAAAAAAA